CCCCAGCCCCCCCCCCCCCGCCCACCCCCACCGGGCCCCACGGCGGGAGCCCTCGCACCACCTTGGTGCAACCGGCCCCATCCAGTCCCTGTCCCCGTTCCCCTGCCCTGACCCCACTTCCCCGCCACAGTCGGCACAGCACGAAGGGTATCTCTGGCACCGCAGCCCATACCCCCAGAGACACGGCTCCACAATGCGGTGAAAATCTGGGGACAAACGCGCATTACACCAAAAAGACCACGTTCCACCTCCTGCATCTCAGGTGTGCTGGGCTGCTGCTGCCTGCAGGGGCTGGCAGGGTGCCCCAGGGTGGGACAGAGCTACAATGGCACCTTAAGGACCAGGACACGTGGCCATGGCACCCTCAGGACATGGACATGCTGTCATGACATCATGAGGACCATCACACAACGCCATGGCACCCGCAGGACCAGGATATATAGATGTGACATCATCAGGAACAGGACATGCTGCTGTGACACTGTCAGGACGAGGATATGCTGCCATGGCACCCTCAGGGCTGGGACACACTGCCATGGCACCTTCAGGAACAGCACATGCTGCCATGACGTCCTCAGGAGCAGGACACATTGCTGTGGCATCCTCAGGACACTGGACATGTTGCCATGGCACCTTAAGGACCAGGACACATGGCCATGGCACCATCAGGACCAGGACACACTGCCATGACACCCTCAGGACAAGGACACACAGCCATGGCACGCTCAGGACCAGTACAAGTGGTCATGACACCTTCAGGACCAGGACACACAGATATGATACCCCCAGTACCTGGACACACTGTCACGAAACCCTCAGGACCAGGACATGATGCTGCCATAGCACCCCCAGGACTAGGATACGCTGTCATGACATCCTCAGGATCAGGACACAAGGCCATGGCACCCTCAGGACCAGGACATGCTGTATTGACACCCTCAGGACAAGGACACCCATCCAGGACACCCTCAGGACTAGGACATGGTGCCATGAAATTCTTAGGATCAGGAAAAACTGCCACAGAATCACAGAGTCATGGAATCGTTTAGGTTGGAAAAGACCCTTAAGATCATCAAGTCCAACCGGTAACCCAGCGCTGCCAAGGCCATCACTAAACCATGTCCCCAAGCACCACATCTCCCCAGCTTTTCCATCCCCCCAGGGATGGGGACTCAGCCCCCGCCCCGGGCAGCCTGGGCCAGGGCCTGACAGCCCTTTGGGGGAAGGAGTTTTCCCTAATACCCAACCCAAA